CTTGCATGAAAATTAAACATGAAACAGAATGTGGTTTATATTATCTTTTTCCATTTTTCCCCTGGGAGACAATTGTCATCTAGGATTTTAGACTATCCTTAAAGGGAGATAGACTGTGGATTAATGGCAAATATGGGGAAAAAAAATTAAAACAGGTTGCTCGGCCTGGCCTTGGGAGGTTTCTGCAAAGATGATATGAACTGTAGAGTGCATTTGGGGTTGTGGCCTATTGCCTCTTTGATGATTAAAAATCAAATTTTGCTTTCTCAAAGTTAATTTGCAAAGTGAAAGCGAGCATGAGTATCAAATTTCCTTGTCAGTCTCTGACAAAACCATACAATTCTTTTTTCCCAATCAAATCCTATGTTTGTTCACACTATGGAAATCTATGTTGAGTTCATACCTTAATTTACATACCCAAAGCTTTAAACTTCGAAATAATTGTCGGATTTAGGTATGCAACACAAAGTCATTCATGATTTAAGATTTATAAACATGAAAAAGAATCAAATGTTGAACAAAAAGAAATGGGTGAGAAGATCTTCCATGGCCATTAGATGAGGGCAACAACCCTACAAGTTGTGGCAGACAAACTCCAATTATATATAAATGTCATCAAGGAAAGATTTCCATTTCTTCAATTGCAAGGTTGGGGAACAGAGTATCCAAGTCCAACAAAAGCTGGTGACCATAAAGTTATAGAGTCAATCTACACTTTGTGTCTGCTTGGTAATGGATTTGAGATAACACTTAACAATTCCCACTCAGGATCCAACAGACCTTGGTAGTTGGTAGGAATTCACTAGCCATTTTATCAGAAATATGATAAAAATAATAATTGAAACTATGTTGAAAAATCACTCATATCTAAAGTTTAAACTAATAAATAAAAGCCTAATTATAGGTTTAATCCCTAATAGTAGTACTATATTTCATAGCTCACCATACAACAAGTTAGAAAGCTCTTTCATGTGCAAATGTATATTAGTAGTTCTATTATTTCTATACTTTAATATAAACATCAAACATTTAAGTTAATTTAATGATACGTTTACATAATTTTTTTATTTAAAAAGTTGATTTTTTTAAAAAAAAATTGATTATTTTATATAATATTAGTATCGCATTAATCTCAATCATCTATCGTAATAGACAGAACATGATGATTGAGAGTTTAAATCTTTCTTGATAAAAGAAAATAAAAAACTTGACCTGATGAAGTAACTAATATTATATAATGGCATGATGTAGAAAAGAATATTTGGGTCTTGAAGTTCCCAATTTCCACCAAACAAACCATCCAAATTTTCCAAGTCAAAAATTCAAACATGAATCTCACACACAACTCCCAAAGAAACTCATCAAGCATGGAAACTGTTTTCGAAAATTCTGATGATCACAATTTACAATGAAATCAATCTAGTGTTTAGTCCACTAAATCCCATCGACACTATGATTTAGACACTTGGATTGTTTTGTACATAGTATATATGAAGCATATGTAGTACTAAAATTAAAAACAATAGTAAATTAAATACGAAAAATTACCCTACGTGACAGTTTTTTTTTAAATAAAAAAGAAGCATAGGTTACGTTATGAAGCCATCTTGAAATAAATATTTGATCACTTATTATATATTAGTGGAAATATTTAAAAAAAAATGGAAAAAGCCCTTTGTTATTATTGATGATCACAAGTCCCTTCCAAAGCAAGTACTTCCTCTAGCCAAATACTTTAGGGAATAGGGAACATGTGTACTGGCTTGATAGTAAAACAAGCTAGGGGCTTCCTCTTTGGCCTCTAACTCTTGTATTCTTTGCCCTTCCGGTATGAATTATTGTGCTTTTTCTTCTAAGTCCAAGAAATTTATTATATAAATATGTTCCTTTTATTTATAAATTTGACCCATTTGATAAGATTCAAATATGAAATTGATATGAAGGTTTGTATCAAGCGAATAATTTTCAATTAACGTATGGTTTATTTTCATAAAAATACTTGAGAAGAATTATACAATAAAATTTATTTAAAATTTTTCTAAAAAACCTCTTTCACTTGATCATTTAAGAAATGTGCGTGCAAAGCAAATTAAAAATATGTGTGACGTAATGTTTTAAAAATTGTCTAAACTATCTAAAAAAATTAAAATAAAATTTTATTTTTTAATTACATTCAATTAAGTTTTTGTCATTTTTAAGGTGAAAAATGAAAATACTATATAATTATGTCATCATCTAAAACCAAAGGTGGAGGAAGGGAGACTAGTCGGGCTTGCCTCCCAAAATTTCAAAATTTATATTTTTTTCTTTGTTTTATGTTAAAATTTTATAATAATATTTTTATTTTTTAAAAATTTTATACTTTTGTCTCCTTATATATTCAATTTTCATTTTTATCCCTTCAAACTTGAAATCTTGATTCCATCACTGTCTATAATAGCATTCATTATAATATATTAATATATCATATCAATATTATATAATATAAAATAAAATATGACTTTTTGATTAATAATTATTAATCAATCGTTAATTATAAAAATTTATTTGATTCAAAATTAAAATATAAAATGTAATAAAATAAAAAAAATAAAAATTAATTTAAATATCTTCAAATAATTCAAACAATTTTGAAAATATTATACCTTATCTAAGACTAAAGAAAATTGCAAGCCAATTAGGAATCCTAAGCATCAAAATTGAGTTAACATGAGATTCAGAAATTTCATATAATCATTACAATCATTTTATTATTACTAATAAAATATTGTACGGAAACATCAACTTTTTTTTTTCTAATAACTAGTTATTTTAAAAAAAAAAAAAAACCCATGAAAGCACACGAGTGCTTAAGGGTACACGCTTGCTTGCTTTGCCTTTGAGCCAAATTCAGTCATCAGTCAAACAATGGTAACCCCAAAAGAAGATCTAAAGGAAGTCTCACCAAAATCTTAGGTTTGTCCTGTAATTATTGGGAAACCCAAAAATATAAGCATTTTTTAAATAGTTATTAATTTATTAATCTTAACCTCGTTATTCTCTAACCACCATCTTTATTTCTCACCTTTTCTTCTCTTGCAAAAAAAAATAATAATAATAATAACCCCTATGTTTCAAAATGGATGCCAGAGCATCTGGTCAATACAAAATTACACTTTTATCCTTGTACGTTGATATAAACATTAAGATACAGTAGGGTATTATTGTCTTTTCGGATGTCCAATTAATTTGTGTCCTTACACATTATCAAACTTATATAAACCCCAAAAAAGTCTTCCTTCTTCTCCACCAAACAAACTACTTACTAGAAAAACCAATCTCCTTTTCCTCTCTATTTCTTCACCACCATAGCAGGGGAAATCGAATCATTATATATATATACACACACAGTGAAATGAAGCAAGAGAGCAACAGAAGCTTCTGCCACAGACACGTGGCAGACCCTTGTAGGGCGTTCGGACGGCGGTGCAGCCGGCTGGTGAAGGAGCAAAGAGCAAGGTTCTACATTCTCCGGCGGTGTGTCACCATGCTTGTTTGCTGGCATGAATGTGGTGACAGTTGAAGACAAAAACAGAAAAAAAGGAAATGTAGAGAGCAAAGTTAGAGCTTATATTAGAAGGAAGTTCCTATGTTCATATATATTAGAATATACATAAAAAGGAAGGGTTCTTTTTTTTTTTCTTTCTTTCTTTCTCTCTTTAGTTCATTTTCTTATGAGTTTTAGGCAAAGAAAGAGTGTAGATCATCATCATCATATGTCAGAAGAATAGTTCCATATAATTGCAGGAAAATCAGTTCCCTGAAAATTTTGGTTCACTTGATGAGGGTTTCATTCTTTTTCCTTTGGTATGACTAAGATTTCTTCTTTGCTGCTCTATATGATCTCATAATGAAGCTTTCTTAATTAGAAGGATTTTTCTGGGAAAACAATAGCTTTTAAAGCTTTTAGGATGGAAAATGGAGCTATGAACTTCTTTGTAAAAACCTTTTGCCCTACAAGTTTGGTGAAAAACGGGGGTTTTGGCTTGATTATCTCCCACAATAACTCTATTTCTGGTTGTATCAGATGCTAGACTGAGCAATGAATGCTTGTCTCATAGAATTTGCTATTCCAGATACATACAGATTTGATTTGTTCGGCTAACAAAATTTTATCATTTTCCTCTTTGATAATTATGGCGACTATAATACATGATTTGGCAAATATAACAGCTTGCCTTCATTTCACTTCTTCTGCCAAGAAATAACATGTTCTGATCTAATTAATTAGATTCAATTTTTGGTGGAGAGAAATTCCCAAAGTTATTAATTTTCTAAATCGGGTTTCGATTAAGCATGAGATCAATCATGCTAAACCTGGGTGAATTTTAGATCATTTCCTGCAGACTCAGGATATAGATTCCTTGCTGATCAGACCTTTTGATTCAGGGAACTCTTCTTCTTTCATTTCCCTTATAAGGAAAAAAGCTATGACTTGTGTGTAAAGGAAGTCGGCCAAATGCTTCATTTGTTGTATAATTCTTTTGTGGTTTAAACTCTTCTACCGCTCCTCCTTGTGAGCTACGAAATGCTGCTTAAAACAATCTTATATTCAAACCTTTTGTGAATGCCAATTTGTTTGTATTTATGGACTTGGGGTTTTAAATTATTTTCAATGAAATTATAAGTTAAAATATTACACTATTAAATTCATGGTCTAAAATTATTCAATTATATATATTAAATAAGGAATTAACATGTTTGTCACAATTATTTAATATATATATATAATCACGAATGACATTTTTTTTTTAGAAGATTCATATGAATGATCCAAATCATACTCTTTTATCATTAAATCGAATTTATGAACTAAGTTTTTCTTAAATACACCATGACCATTTTTCCAAATATTTTCGTTTTTCGAGATCATGATGAGTCAAGATCATGTTGGGGCCTTCACTGAGTTGACTCAACCAGGTTAGGCAAACTCTGTGAATGAGTG